CGGGGGCTGGCTCGCCGCTCCGCCCTGCTGAGGGGCAGTTTCCCGGTGAGTGCGCCCGGCTCCCTCCGCCCGCTCCGGGCTGCTCGGGGGGAGCCCTTCCTCCCGGGCGTGGCAGGGCACTGGGGGACCCCCGCCCCCTCTCCTGGGGGGCTGATCAACGAATGCCCCCCCCCCATGTCTCCTTTCTCTGGGGGGGTCGGTCAGTGGGGGCCCCCCACACTGCCCCCACTCCTGGCCCCTTGCCATGGTGGGTGTTTAACGCGTGCCCATCAGAACACCCTACCTGGGCAACGCTACAAAGTGCTGCCTATTTATACCTGCATCTGATGAAGTGGGTTTTTAGCCCACGAAAGCTTATGCCCAAATAAATGTGTTAGTCTCTAAGGTGCCACAAGGACGCCACCTTGTTTTTGCTGATACAGACTAGAGGCTGCCCCTCTGAAAACTGCAAAGTTCACAACCCTCCTGTTTCAGGCCGCGCTCCTGAAGTTTTCTTCTTTTTCCACTCTCCCCTGCTGTGCTGTCGGAGGCAGCCCTTGTCCTAAAGTCGAGGACAGCCCCCTGCAGATGTGCTAGTAACTGATGATGGCACGGAGGTTATCTGATGTTTAGGGTTACGCCCCTACAGCTTTACAGCAAATGAGGTATGTGCAGGATTTGTCAAAAATATGCAAAAACCGGGCACCTCCAGTGAGCACGGACGTGTCTTCCTGTTTAGTTTATGGAACTTGGCTTTCTTCTGACTTCAAGAGTGTCATTTATTTGGGAGTGTATTGAAATCTTTACTTAGGTGGTATTATATTTGCAGAAAGAAAACAACAAGAGGATTCTGATCCTGCATCCTTTTGCCCATGTAAACCCTTATGCTCGTGGGTAACGAGTTGCAGGATCGCATCCTAAGGCATAATCTACACTTAAAAGTTAGGTCCGAAGTAAGAACTGTGCTCGGGGTGGGAAAATTCCCACTCCTGAGTGCTGTAGTTAAGCTGACCAGACCCCCCCGGCTAGTTTAGTGAAATAATTCTTCTGTCGACATAGCTACTGCCTCTCGTGGCACATTTCAGGAAGGAGGATTACGTTAATGGAAAAATCCCTTTGGTTGCTGTAGGAAGTGTCCACACTATCGCAGTAAAGCAGCATAACCATACTGTTGACATGGCCAAAATCAGCAAATGGAAAATGGTCTGCCTAGTTTTATTGTGTTTGACAGCTACTAAGTTTCACGTCTGTTCTATGTGCAAGGCTTATATGACCTTTTTCAAAATGTGAACCTACTGCTTGTTCGGATTTCCCATTTGGGCTCATTTATGTAGAAATCTGGTAAAATGAGGAGAGTTCCTTTTTTTGGGAGCCTGTTTAATTACAAAAGGCCAACTGAGCAATGTTGTTATCCATTTTCTTGGTGTTGCTTAATGAGACCAAAATTAACATTTGTGTAATTTTAACCAGGATGTGAATATTATGGTTTAAATCAAATTAAAAACTATCTTCTGATAACTATTTCCAGATGGTTTCTAGAGTAGCCTTTTAGATTTGGTTAATTATTTCATCTGCAAGTCTTCCCTCCTAGGCGCCCACTCCTAGTTTTCTTAATGCAAATGTAAAGTGTATCATGACTGCTTATTATTATCTTGTTAATAGCTATTTGACAGTGGTGCAGAATGCAAAGAAATAATATTTTAATTAAATCTATTGTTAATTGTTTTTAACTGTGGAAAAACTCAGCATAATACATTATTTAAACAATGCAGTAGGAAAGACACTATATTTCTAGTAATGCTATCATGCCTGGGATGGTGGAATAAAAATAAAATGGGAAGACCACCAGATTTGCCTTTGGTGCTCTTTGTTCTAGGAGTACAAATCCTGTAGGCTTCTGTGGGAACTGCACTTGTATAACTAAGGGAACAGTTGGGTCTGTGATGTCCAGGGCACACTAGTTTACCCAAGAAGGTCAATAATTGATCTACATGCCATAGTTTTGTGCTCTTAGTGGCATTATGAAACATTTAATGACCCACTTCCTATAGTCTTTAAATTAGGCAAAACTTCCCTGTAAGTTAATGGGAGTTTGGTGTTCACCAGGACTGCAGGCTCAGGGTGTACAGTAATAATCATAGGGATAAAATTAGACATGCATTGTAGACACGGTATCGTTGGCAGCCAACCGCTTTATTTTTCCTTTTTTATCAGGTCAGTAGCTGCACAGCTATTTGCTTTGGTCCATGCTTCAGAGTATAAGTATTTTCCCAGCAGCAATGCCCTCCAGAGCTAACAGAGCATGTTTCCAGTCCTGTTCTGCTCTGCAGGTGTCATTCCCGGTAGTACAGTATTCCATGAGTTTTATTTCAGATAAAGTACGTTGTTGATCCTGAACGTCACTTAGTGGAAAACAAATAGTACTTCTATGTCTGCCTGGACCATCTGTAACCAGAGGCAGATTAAATAATTGTTCACTCCTAGTTCAGTTTTAAATCTAGAACTACCTGTACCAACTATATCCACCTTCCTTTTATATAAAGTAGTTAAATGGTAAATGATCATGGGTGTAGTATTTGACAGTTAGATTGAACTGATAACCAAGGACACACTTTCATCCAAATGTAAGTACTATCAGTCTTATATGTTAGCTCCAAGAGCATTGTTGGTGCTAACGATGTGATCCTGGCTGGCACAAGATGCTTACAATGTATAATCCTGATTCTGCAATACAAATTGCACAGGCAGATGCCTGCACCTGTCTGAAGCTGTATTGACTTCAGTAGGGCTTAGTGGTGGGTGCAGAGATCTGTCCATGTGGATCGGTTTGAACAATAAGACCCAGATCCATAAACCTATTTGAACTCCTAACTTTCGTTAATTTCAATGGAAGTTGGAAGCCTAAGTATCTTCTGAGGATCTGGGCCTTTATGAAGATCTGGGCCTTGTAAACACTTACCAAAGGTGATAGGCTCAGTTCTGTGAATAGTCCCACAGAAGTTAATAGAATTATTTACAGTAGTAAGCACTAGGTCCAATAATGTTTGCAAGAATGGGCCAAAATGGGATACAGTGCCTTCAGATGTGTATGTTTGGTGTCTTGCACAATATTGATCAGGGCCTCTGCGTATTATTGTAATAGAAATAAAGAACAGTGATTATAAAGGGTTTTATTGCATTTCGTCCATGATTCCCCCCCATTTAGCTTCCAATTCATTAAAAAATGTCTGTGGGCCCCAGTCCTTCAACCAATGTGTGTAACCTTTAACTACTGTGAGTAATTTCACTGATTTTGATGACACTATACAGGTATTAAAGTTAAATGTATGCTAAAGTGTTTGCTGGATTGGGGCCTTAATTTGGACACTTTGTATATAGAAGCAAGGACTGCGTAGGCCCTTCTTGCTGTCCGAGGTAGAGCTCTTTATTGTCATAGTATCCTTTTGTGAGTATATTTGTGCTGGAATTTAGCCCACTACCCTGTAATCTTGGTGATTTATTTGCAGGAATGATTTTTGTCTAGAATGCGTGTTGTGCACTATACAAAAATCATGGATCTTTTTCTTGTTGCCAAAACTGACTGCGCTGGTCATTACTGTATTGAAACAGAGAAGTCATTTGAATGAATGTGGGTGGTACTGCCTTTGAAATCTTCAGGAACAAACACATTCCTCTATAAAACTTAATTTTAAAGGAGCAGTATATAGTACTTAGCCTTGTCTTTTGTCATAGTTCCTGGTTTCAGAAATGATACGACATTTCTTATACTTTAACTTTCTGTTGGTTGTTACATTTTTACAGTTGCTAGAGTAAATTTCATAGCCTGATTCCTAACTTCCTTTCTCTTATATTTTTAATAAATTATGCAATGGTTCCTGCTTACAGAGATTATATTTTATCAAGTCCTTCAGGAAAAATAAGACATGGATCTCAGTTGTCCGCAGTGTCCCTGTACAAGAGAATGCAGGCCCACTCTTCTTGGAGCAATATTTATAAAGAGCTCTGAAAAACACTCTAGAGACCATTCTGTGACAGAATTCAATGGAACCCACTGCACTGCCAGCCTACAAGATTGAAGTCTCCTCTTTTCTTGAGTGGGAGTTGGGTCCTATGGGAGTATAGAGTGTTTTCAGAATAGTCTCAGAAACAGTAAACTAAATTTCAGCAATGAATATAAACAAGGGTAATTGAGACTGGATTATTATTTAGTGACAGGAGTCCCCTGTAAAAACTTGCCAATTGCCTTAGCAAAATTAGCAGGTTTTTAAGGGTAACCACTGAAAATCCATAAAAAGTCTTCCATTGTTTCTGCAAATGGAGAAAACTTTCCAACCAGCATAGTAGTATCTGAAGAAAGTAGTGATCCAAATAAAATTCATACTCTGCCATACCACAAATGGATATATTGAAAATAAATTATAGTCCAAAACCAGAATTCTCACACTTTTCCTCTTGGGTCTTTAGCTTCATGTAAATAATTTAAACCTTTCTTGGAGATTCAGACTATACTTCAGTTTGATTCTTTGTGGATGACAGATTTGCCCTTGAGCTCTAGTTGTATTATGTCCAGAGGGCCTTGAACCCTGCAGGCATGCAGTGCATGAAAAGCTTGCAGATTTTCATGGATTTCCTTGCAAAAAAATGTGGAGCAAACCTTTGGCCCATTCCTCCTGTGCTAATTTACAGAGCCATGACAGTTCCATTGGACATTATGATAAATCTGTTATGGTATGGGGAAGCAGTGGTTATTACTGCAAACATAATATTTTTGCCCTGGTCAGATAATGTACGTTGGAAAATCTAACCTTAGGTAGACCCTGATCTTGCAAGTAATTCCATGCAGATAGACCCTTGTGCCTTTAAGACGGTGAGACTCTGTGCTGGTGACCACAGCCTTATATAAAGGCAAAAAACCTTTGCCATGCATCTACTTTCTATTCTGCTTCTATTGAGCACTTTTCAGACTAACTTTTAGGTATCTAGTAGAGCATGTGTGAGTGAGAGACAAAGCCAGGTGGACAGAGCACTGCAGTGGGAGCTGAGAGGGACTTTTTGGGTACTCATTCTGATTGTGACACTCTGAGGATAAGGACACTCATCCTCCCTGCCTTAATTTCCACCCAGTTCACCTAAACAAATGGCACCTCACATGGGTATAGTTCGGATTAATTAGCAGTTTGTAAAACCTAGTATAAGAATAACTAGTGGTACGGAATCTACTTTCTAATGCACTATTTATAGCTGTGGGTAGACACTGTCCCTGGAGAATCAGTATTCATTTGTAAGAACAACTTGGTGCTCTTTGAAAGAGTTCTTATATTGTATAGGTATCAAAGTCACTTTCCTCCTATCACCTTGTTTTTTCCCCTTCCTCTGGCACGGTAACATGTTTGGTAATATTATGCCATATCCTTGCAAAACATTGGGTCAACAGAAAATTTTGTTTAACCTCTATTTGATTCTGTTGTCTACCAAATGACCTGCAGAACAGATGTCATGAAGAATGCTTAGGAGTTTGAGCCTGGGTCTTTAATAACCACAGTTTCCTTATATACTTATTCCTCTCCCACCCTGTGTCAGGCTGGGGTAACTATTCCCTATATATTTTCTTTATACCCTTCTCCTTTCCTTTTTTTTTTTAAGGGGTTGACTGTCATTGTGAACT